TGCTGAAGTCATCTGTAGGATTTATCAAATTCAATTTTCAAGAATAACATACTGTTGCTCTTTGGATATTCATTGGTTTCCTAAGTCCACAAAAGGATGAGGTGGGGAGGGGGGAGGTGTAGCAGGTTGCAAGGTGTCCTCGAGCATTCTCTGTTTAGATGCCAGTGCTTTCCAGTTCCCCATCCTCTAGCCCTAACGTGGTGTGCGACCTAGAAATCATAAAGAGTTTCTCTTTATTTGTGTACAGTCTTTGAGTTTGCTGAGGTTGTTCCCCTGTCTGTTCTCTGCTGGTATCCTTGAGGGGGTCAGTCTTCTCAACCGGTTCCTTCTCACAGTCCTGAATTTTACTAGCTGGGGTGTTGGCAACTGACTCCAAGGAGGTGCCTGCCTCCTCCAGGTGGCTGTAGCCCTTATTGCTGCTGCTGGAAGGCTCAGACTGGGAGCTCTGGGAGCCCGTCCTGGTGATGGCAGGGGGTGATGAGGGGGTTGACCCCCCCAGATCCAGAGATTTGGAGTAGCTAGAAGATGCTTTTACCAACAGGCTGGAGTCTGGGCCTCCACTGACAGCCAGGGACTGAGGGGGCTCAGGGGAAAGAGGGCACCTGGCATCAGGCAAGCAGCTGGTGCTCTGCCGCCTCAGGACCAGCTTGTGCTTCCCTCTCCCACAGCCTCCCTTCACATGGCTGCTGCTGAGGTCAGTCAGGCTCAGTTCAAACTCCCCCCGTGGGATCTGCTGGGCTCCGCGCTCACCAGTGGGCCTCCGCCAGCCTCCCCCTCCCCCACCCTGTGCCAAGGGCAGGAGGGTGAAGGCGCTCAGTGAGGAGCCAATGATGGAGCTGGCCGTGCTGCGCCTGCCCCAGCTTTCTGGTGGGCTGCAGGGTGGGCTGGAGAAGGGGTGGCCAGAAAGGGCAGCACGCTCCCTGTAGATGCTGTACACAGCCTCAGCCAGGCTGGGTGGTTGTGGCGGCGTGCAGAAGGAGGAGCGCCGTGGTGAGGACGCCAGGTCAGGTGGGGAGAGAGAGACACCCAGCCCTGGTGGCCAGGAGCTCTTGGCCAGCATGGCCGCAGCACCGAGGCCTTCGCTGCCAGGCTTGAGCTCCAGGCCCCGGGCCTGCATGTAGTTGACAAAGCCATTGAGAGGGGCTGAGGCCGGGGTGCCTCCATCCTTGGCCCGCAGGCTGTGGGCATCGATGACTGTGGAGTACAGGTCACGCAGGTTGATGATCTTGGTTTTCTTGTCACGGTTCTCGTGCAACACTGCATTGGCGCAGATGAAGAGGAAGATACCGATGCCCATGATGAGGGGGCCCAGCACTTTCAGCTTGTCCGAGTGCAAGTAGCCCGAGAAGAGCCGGAAGAGGAAACTGACTGAGGCCTGGGGGGATGAGGAAGTGGGGGGGGACTGCGGGGACCCCCAGGTGGTGGCAGCAGTGGAGGAATTGGCTCTGGGTGGTGTTTCTGGGTGGGACCCTGCTTGTGCCCCTGCCTGGCTCCGGGTACGGTTCTTGGGGGTGCCTCCCTGTGGCAGCAGGTATCTGCCCCCACTGAAGCCGCCTTCTCTGTATACCTGGCTGGGTTTAGGCCAGTATCCCACCACAGCCAAGGCAATGCCCACCAGCAGCACCAGGATACCACAGAGGGCGATAAGGCCCGAGAGGGAGCACAGCTTGAGCTTGCCCTTCACCACCACCACGTCGTTCTTGCGCTTCTTTTTGGCCTTGCGTTTGCGTTTGGGAACTTGGCTTTGGGGTCGCAAAGGGTCCTGTTTTCTAGCCGAGATCCTCAGGAGGCCTCCAGTGGCGATCATGGCTGGCTACCCAGGGCGCTGCTCCAGCTCCTGCAGTGCAAAAAAGAAAAAAAGGGTGAGGACCAGGGGCAGCCCTGAAGCAGTACAAGAAGTGTTTGTTTCCTGTTCCCCCTCCAAACTCCTGCTAGTTAAAATCCTCAGCAAGCATGCTGGGGGTGGGGGAGGGGAACAGCACACCAACAGGCTGACCTCCCTCACACATAGAGCTCCTGCACATGACAAGAGACAGGCAGCTTGAAAAGAGTTAGGATGCTCTAGGAAGGGAAGCAGCAGTGTGTCCCACCACAGTTTTATTAAACAGATAATTGAATTCTTTAGGCTCCAGGTAAATGATAGAGGGAGTGGTACCTGCTGATTCAAACAAACAGAAAATGATCCCACTGGTCTCAGAAGGAGCTTGCAAAGCACCAGGGGTGACAGGATGCTGACAGCTTCCCTGTTCTTGAGCTCGATTCCCTATTGGGGCTTGGGATTATGCTGCACAAGGACTGTGGCATTAGCGATGTCACAGAAGCTGGGTTTGAGGGAAAGAAGGAAATAAAAGCAGGAAGGCAGTATGATAGATACCTTTCATTTTATTACACCACCTACACACTAGTAGGGTGGGGGAAGTTAAACGTGTTATTTGCCTTTTTTTTTTTTTAAATGAATGGGAAAGGGATCATTATGACAAAAAAAAAAAAAAACAAAGGAAATATTTGAATATCCAGAGAGCAGTGCCTTGTGAAAGTTTCTTTGAAACCCTTTCCTTTACATTTTAACTGCTATATTACAGAAATCCATTTTCTGCCTATGGCCTGGGTACATCAGCTGGACAACTGCCTGATTTGGAAACATGTGTAATGTTCAAGGTAACTGTTATGTAACACTAACAAATTCCCCCCCTCCCCCAGAAATGGGAAACTGTGGCTGTTAGATAGGTAACAGATAGGATGTCAACTCTTATTAAAGGAGGATAGAACTCTTATTTAATAAGTCACCTGGAGACATAGCAAGTGACTGGGAAACTGACAGGGGACTAAACATTAACTGCTTTATTTTACTGGATCATCAGGACTCATCTGTGTGTTCCAGTGATTTGAGCTACAAAAATGCACAGTGTAGAAACAATTCCTGCACTATTGCAATTCTTTTTGGAAGGTCTTGATTCTACTGAGCAGAGGTTTTCCCTCCTTTCCTTCTCTTTAAGGTCTTTAAGGGTCCTTTTTTTTTGTTTCTGTTTTTGAAAGAAAGATGACAGCCATCAATATGGTATGGTTCATAAAATTCAATTCAGTGCATTCAGATGCAATTAAGTAAGCGTTCAGAGCAATCTTACCCCTCTTTCCACACTCATCAGCTTTTGCATCTTGTTTCTTTTCTTTTCCCAGATGTGCCCCAGATGCAGCAATTGTGTCCTATTTGCTCTGTCTGTATTTTCCCCATAAACGGACAGTATTATCACCACGGCCATTGTTTTAAGCATGTAACACCATAGAGAGTAATTTAAACAAAGAGCAGAGATTTACCTTCTCTTTCCTACCCAAACTATTTATCTGTCCCCCTTCCCCTTCTTTTAAACATTCTTTGGCAGTGTAAGAGTGTAATTATTAGGGCATGATTTGCCTTAATTGCCGGTTTGTTAATCTCATTCTTTTGACTGCCTCACTAGACAGGAACCAGTCTCCTCTAGGACAGCAAAAACAGATGGTAATCATCCCTGAGCAGCCTTTGCAAACCAGTCTCACTTGGTACGTAGTTTTTCCAACATAGGGAAAAGAGGGTAGCAGGCAATGTAGGGTATGAAAAGATGACTGGCTGTTATTAATGATCGTAACATAATAGAATAACCCAAAACTTAGGGAGGCTTTTCAAGGCAACAGCAGAAATCACATTTTGCATGAACTGAAGGCGATCTCCAGAAACCAATAAACTGATTTCAGCTCCTTAAAAAAGCCCCCGAGGATCGCTTTTGTGTTTCAGCTAGGCGCTCAAAGATTTATGCTAAAGGTTCCTCGGCGAGAATCAAATATAGTTTTAACACTAAGCCAGTCACTCGTTTCGACACGCCAAGATGGACCGATTTAACTCTGTCTCTCCCGGCCGCGAACAGCGGGAATCAGTGCCCACTTGTCGGGTAGCGGCGAACAACAGGGCTTGCTGCGGCTTCGGCTACTTCGGGGAAACCGAAGGACTCCGGCTGCGGGGAGGGGGCAATAACACACATTTTTCCGAAAGGATTTCAGTATGAGACCACGGGGCGGCTGCCGGAGGTGTTACTCGGGGCGGTTTCTAGCGGGCAGCTCCGCCGTGCGCCGCACGGACAGGGCGGAAACGCCGTGCCCGCCAGGCTGGCCCCGCGCTG